GCAAATTGCAACAAATTGAAAGTTCAGGGAAGTTTTTTGTAGTTCTGGAGGGTTAGTTGCAAAACCCCCATAATTCAGGGGGGTTTTTTGCACTTTACCCTATATATATATATATATATATATATATATATATATATATATATGGGGTAATAACACTTACCTCCCCTGGTGTTAGGGGTAATTACAGGCGATACCCCTTACGTTTAAAAAATTACACCGTCCTCCCTCGAGGTTTGCTCCGTCATAACACTTCGCCCCCTCCGATGAAAGTCACTGCCTGTATCAGCTATTTTTAAACCTTTAATACCACATTTGCTCTTACTATATTTGTAAAGACATTTTAACCCTTATTTTTAAATTGACAATTACTCATATATCCTCAATCATTGGAAAAACAATCACTTTTTATTTTTATGTCAATGGGAAAACAATCTCAATCAACGGAATCGCGCCGGAATCCATGGAAGGCCCATGTTGCCAGAATCCATGGATCCACATAATCGTCGATGATGCAAGTGTGGAGACGATGACAACATTGAATAAGTGAAGATTATATTACCGACAAACCCATGTATATATCCAAAACCACCTATTTTCAAAATTCCTGCAAAAAAACACACTGGTGTTTGTTAAATCATTGAATCGGAAGTAAGTACAAGTAGAATTTGGTTAACTCATTGAAGGATTTATACCCACCACGAACCATATATATGTGCAAAGATGGTATCAATTCCAATTGATTGCGATAATGATTCTAATTGTGAAATCGTTAAAAGAATTGACACAAAAGCTTCAAACAAGAACCCAAATAACAAATTATAAAATCAAATACACTAAAATGGCTTTTATTTAAATGTACTCAGTACCCACCAAGACTGCTAATACTCATTCACTTCCAATTGATTGCAACAATGATTCTAATCATGAAATTGTTAAAGAATTAACACAAAAGCTTTAAACAAAGACCCATATAAAATACCATAACAAATAAAAAATTCAAATATACTAAAAAAAACATCTTTCTCATCGTATTTGGAACTCTATTCAAAATGAAACTCTGTTTAATTGTTGCAATCAACGTGTAAAGGAATCAAGAAATGTATTGCATAAAGCGATCGCAAATGACTTGGGGTTAAAATTTCTTTCTCTCTGCTGGCAGTTGGGTACAAAAGCTTTTACGGTTTGGTCACCGTTCTCAAACTCACCCGTCGGATGAAGGAAACCGCCAGAACTAAAGCACACAGGAACTGAGGTTAAACCGAGAAGAATTGAAACTCACAATTTGGGTATCTAAAGACAGGGAATATTTCTCGAGGTAGTCGATGTAAAGGACGAGGAAGGTTGAGAGGCACGCCGGAGAAGAATTTCTAGATGGCCACGAGTGAGTCGACAAAGGGTGTGAAGGCACGGTGGACCCAGAGGACGAAATCACCGTTGCTGGGGCAGGCGTTGGCGATCTCGGCAGTGAGGAGGGCCTCCAGGATAGACCAGATGAAGGGGAAGAAGAGGAAGCCGAGGATGGTTAGGAGAGGGGCAGCGATTTGGACGGCAGGTTCTTTGCCTGAAAGTTTAGAGGGGGGTAAAAGAGAGAAAAGAGACCCGGTGCTCCACAAGAGGAGGAAAAAGATAGGTTGAGGCAAAGAAGATCAAAGGGTAAGACTGTCATTTGGCAAAATAATTTGTTAATATTTTATATCAATATAACAATAAAGGGTATATTAGTACTTTCATATGGATTTTTACTCAACTTAACGCCGGCCACATTTGGAAGGAGGTCAGTGTAATATTTAAAACATTAGGGGTACTGTCTGTAATTAGACCTAACCTCGAGGGAGGTAAGTGTAATTACCCCATGTATATATATATATAATTTTTCATATTTGGCAAACACGGGTACTTTGTCAATGTTTTTAGTAGCAGGGCATGAAATGCAAGACCAAAGAATATCAATGCCTCCCAGCGCATCATGTACTTGGTATTACTGAGATATTTCAATGTGAAACAGGGCTGTGGCTAGTATATATATTATATATAACTATATATGGTTTATAAAGAAAAAATGAGTTGAATTGTTAGTATATAGGAGTGTATAGTTAATGGAGTTGCGTGCACGATGTTGGTAATAGAGGCCTGAACTTCTGGTGTGTACGAGATGAATGATAATGAAAGAAACAGGAGAGAATTTGGAATGAGCAGAGAAGGCATGGCCATTTCTCAGAAATATCTGCATCAACAACAGTCCGTGTTAGAATTTGACTTAATTTCAAGGGTTGCAAAAACAATGGGCCCTCATTTCATATATGGACACAATGACATTTTATTGTCAATCAATTGCGCCAATGGTGCCAGCCTTTGTCTTTGTGAAAATGAGATTACAGGCTTTTGAAGATTGGAGGAATCTCTGCAAGGTGGCTTGTGGATACCACGCGACCATCGGACTACATTGGCTTTGAAGATAGATGCTGAAAGATGGATCGTGGACACCATACGTTCATGACAACATTATGTCCTCTTGCTTTTTTATTGAATTAAAAGGCAGTGTCCTATTGTCGTGCTAGTGTTATAATGCTGTGACAACCGCTTTTACAGTAAATGCTACCAAACATGTTTCTGTATTTTACTTTGTTACAGTACACTGTTAATAGCTAAAAACAAACACACACACACACAAAAGCAGAAGTGATTACTAATCAGAACCTTAGTTTACCAATTCAATTACTAGTGTTATAACTTTTGATGATATCAGTCTACAACTACTGATGTAAGTATATATATAGTCAAAAAAAGGACTAATTGACTAGCAGGTATGGTAGGAGCTAGTGAATACTATGAACTCCCAACTTTGATAGAAGACGATCTTCCAAGGAGTTTGTGGTCTTTGCATCTTCATATTGGATGGTTCTCGTTCACATGATGATTGAAGCTAGCTTCAATATGCAAGAAAGGGCAGGTACACCCAATTACTACAATTTACAACTAGCAATTATTAATGTTGTTATAGTCTAGTGATGAAATGGTAAAAGTACTTGAGAAAACCCAAATATCTATATATAAATAGTTGCTTCCACTCTTTATATCCTGTTTTTGAGCATCATTTGAGAGGGGAAAATACAAATAAAATAGTATGAACATGTTATATAACTTTGTCCCAACATATATATTCTTCAAGAATCTTCTAACTACTCCAGACACACTAATTTAGTTTAAGAAAAACCCAAAAATTCATTCCATCAATCGACTCATCTCAAGTTCCTTAATTAGTCGGAAAAACCTAAGACTCTGAGCTGGTTCTGGAGTATTTTTGTAAAGAACCACTATTTCTGTAGTTTGGCTGATCGAATGGGCTGCTTTGAAAACAATAAAGGTTACCTTGTCAGTATTTTTACTTGCAAGCTTGTGTGTGTGTGTGTGTGTGGTTTTTTTTTTTTTTTTTTTTTTCATTATGGAACAAGTTGTGACTAGATAATTAATTACTTGTTTGCACTATGGTCTGACCATTCAGTCAGTAGCTATAAAGATCATTAGTTAATGTGATTTTTGTGTTTGTAGGATGTTAGCAACGCAATATAGTATATATTAGGATTTGCAAGCGGATGTTTCTTTCTTTCCAAATTGGGACGGCAATACTACAACATAAATTGTTCAATTAGTACTTCACTTATTAATAATAATAATATTGTGATTTTGATAGTTGAAGATAGGTTTTGAAGGTGGCTTGTGGACAACACGGCTACTTAATTAATGACCACATGATGTTTGACAACAATGCACTCTACTACTAAGATATTCTCAGGCTTTATTCTATATCCTCTGCTATTACATTTTGAAAGCCAAAGTCATGATATGATGTTAATGATAATGCTAGTGATAAAATTGATGTGTTGTGAGTTTTATTTTTATTTATTTATTTATTTATATTGTGTACAAGGACATGCACTCTCAGTCTACCACTATGGCTTGTGGATAACACACTACCTCCTAACCACGCGTCGTTATTTGGCCTCATTCCCCTCTCCCTCTCTCTATGAATGTGAGATCTCCCCTCTTTTGACATGATTTTAGTGAAGGAAGTGTTTCTCATTTTTATTCTCTTTAAAATTTAAAATTTTGTGATGTAGAACGAATTGCAAATAATCTTATAAATCGATTCAATTGCTGAGAGTTTAGAACAATTATGACGATCAAATTTGATCTAGAAAGTTTCATTTCCGATCAGAAATGAGCCTACTTGTAAAAATGGTGGGCTCTTTTACATTGCTTTTGTGCTGAATTTGGTCTTGACTTTGAAATATGCATTTTAAGATTGTTGAATATTTTGAGATTTTTTATTTGTGGTCTAAACAATTTCTATATCTTTTGATTTTTTTTTTCTTTATTTAAATTACAACACTGCCCTTAATGACTATTACTCTATATAAATTTAATATCTTAACAAACAAGATCAAATATTACCTCCTCATTTCTCTTCTATCCAATTAAATGGAGAGGGGAAAAAATATTATTTATTTTCTGAGGTGAATCACTTCTTTTCTCGCTTTCATAAAATTTTATTCCTTTCTAACAAAACCGAAAAAAATAAAAAAAAATTAAAATGACTACACGTTGGTTCCATGACATTATCTTACGGTTTTTTTAATGAATAAATTTGTTCCCCACAAATGATCTTAAATACAAAGTTAGATAAAAAAGAAAAAAAAAATTCAAATTTTTTCTGCCTTAATTAATTTACTTTGATAAATAAGTAAAATTAGTCCACTCAATTAAAAATATAAAAAGGCACATTCAAGAAAAAGAAAAAGAAAAAGAAAAAGTGTATCACACTAACAAAACACTCAAAACAGTTGTGAAATAGAACCAAATTAATTTTTTAAACAAATGTTGAACTGTCCTGATCCAAAAAGAGAAATGAAAAGATCCACACAGTGAATCCTCTACTTGACTCTCCCTCCCTCCCTCTCTGTCTCTGGTATATACGTAAATTGTATGTCCCTTTCTCTCTGTAGATTTTACATATAATAATTCTTGTATATGGCGACAACCCAATTCCTTTCACTCCGAAAGCGATCTCCAAACCCCAATTATCCACTCCCCTTTTTAAACCCCAACCCATTATTCCATATTCCTATTCTTCCACCACAATGGCAACCACCACCTCCGACGCCGATTTCCGAGACTTCCACCCCGAAATCTCCGTATCCCAGTCGCCATCCCACGACGGCCTTGAATTCTGGCAGTTCATGATCGCCGGCTCCATCGCCGGCTCCGTCGAACACATGGCCATGTTCCCAGTTGACACCCTCAAAACCCGCATGCAGGCAATTGGGCCTTCTTCCTGCCCATCTTCATCCCTCACCCTCCGCCAATCCCTCGGCTCCATTCTCAAGCTCGAAGGCCCCGCCGTCCTTTATCGCGGCATCGCCGCCATGGGTCTCGGCGCTGGACCTGCCCACGCCGTCTACTTCTCAGTATACGAATATTCCAAGAAGTTCCTCAGCACGGAGAATCGGAATAACTCGGCCGCGCACGCGGTTTCTGGTGTGTGCGCCACGGTGGTGAGCGACGCCGTGATTACGCCGATGGATATGGTGAAGCAGAGACTGCAATTGAAGAGTAGTCCTTACAAGGGTTTGGGTGATTGTGTGAGGAGGGTGTTGGTGGAGGAGGGAATTGGAGCTTTCTATAAGTCGTATCGGACGACGGTGGTGATGAACGCACCGTTCACGGCGGTTCATTTCGCGACGTATGAGGCGGCGAAGAGGGGGTTGATGGAAGTGTCACCAGAGAGCGCGAGTGAGGATGAGACGCTAGTTGTCCATGCCACTGCTGGTGCTGTTGCTGGGGCATTGGCTGCAGCTGTGACGACTCCACTTGATGTTGTGAAAACTCAGTTGCAGTGTCAGGTATTTGTTTTGAATGAAGTTATTTTATAGTTTGTACTTAGATTATAATATTCTGCTCCTATAGCCAACATAACTTTACCATCTTGTTTGTGTTAGATCGATCACTGAAGCTAAAATAATTCGAAGCATGTCTTCATTGTTTTGAGGTGATGTGGCCTATGATTCAATGGTGGATCTCTAATTTAGACCAAAATGTTGAAGCCAACCTCATTAGTTTGGCGCCGTTATAGTTAATATGTACGTTTAGATGTTTTGCAAAAGATTTCCTTAAAAAAGAACAATCTACCCATATGATTAGTTTTGCAAAATAGTGGCTTGGATTTGGGATTTTGTTGTAGATATTACTTACTATATATATTTAATTTAACACTGCCATTATTAATTCTTATTATATCTTCAATTACACAGGGAGTATGTGGATGTGATCGATTTTCTAGTAGTTCAATCGGCGATGTTGTTCGAAGCATTGTCCAAAAAGATGGATATGGTGGGCTCATGAGGGGCTGGATCCCCAGGATGCTCTTTCATGCACCTGCTGCCGCAATCTGCTGGTCTACCTATGAGGCAGCCAAAACCTTCTTTCAAGAACTCAATGCCAAAAATAGGCCGTTTGAGTAAAACAAGGATACGGAGGTCTTCATCGAATCCGCAGGCATCTCAACCTGGTTGACCAACTTCCAAAAATTGTTTCTGCCATTGTTACTGTAACTGAATCACACGGTAGCATAATTTTCCTAGACCTGGCCACTGTTTATTCTAGTGGTGCTGGTTAGTTCAGGCAGAAATTCTTGGAATATACTATGCAAATTGTGGTGGTAGATCGGGCGTGACCGGTCTCCATATTTTGTACATGTTTATGCACTTTGGTTACTTCGAAATCTGTGTCATTGATGATTTTGAGTTCCTTATACTGAAATTTAAATTCTAGAGCAGTACAACTGGACTTCTTGTCCCTTGCTGCATTTACCACCAATTCTAACATCCATTTCAACTTTTCAACCAAAAAAAAAATTGAATCTTGAAGTAAATCAGTTAACAAGAAGATATGCATGAATACGTTAGTGAGATGATATAGAGAGAGAATCATCCCCGAACACAAAGAAACTTCAAGGAGCTATATGGAGTTTTGTTGAAAAATACACATTACTGAAAAATGGACGCATGCATACAAGTGAGAAGCAAAATTTGTATAATGTTGTGTGTTTTCAGTTCAACATGTTCAATCTAGTTTGAATCTTTCATACTTCCTTGATTTTCTATATTTATCATTTAGGCTTTGTTTGGATGGATGAAATTGGAAGGAAAATACACGAAAATATACAATCCTATCCTTTCTTTTCTTTTCTTTTCTTTTCTCTCTCGTCTATCCAACAGAAGCCTTAAAGTTCCGGGAATTGGTTGACACAAGCTGATAAGCTGCTACATACAGTTTTCTGCAAAATTACCTCTCATTTATCATTCCGTATGCCCTGGACCTCCTGGTCTGGCTCGGTGATTATCTGTCTGAAAACTGAAAACATAGAACCCGGAATTAAGACAATGTTAATATAAAATACAAATAATCCAGGCAACTTGAGAATACCATATGGAACACCAATTTTTAAAATACAAGAATCATAACTACAGGAAGCACAAAGGGTCCAGAAGATCTTAAAAGTCAGTTAGCTACTGCTTATAACAATATAATCAAGCAAGCCATTTCGACCATTCAGAACTTATCAACCGTAAATCCATCTCTAAGAACCTCATAAGCCTCCCTACTTCTACTTTTCTTCAACCCAGCAGCAAATTGAAGCTTTGATCCTTCAGATGATATGGAGGTCACTTTCACCCAAATCATCACCTTCGTTTTGATTCCCTCTATATCAGCTAGCTTTCCTTTCTCCAGATAGCCAGTTACAGTGGTGGAAAAACGCAAGACTGATGAGTCCTTGTACCCCACTTCACAAATTGAGGGTATGAAAACCGTAAGCTTTCCGGTCTCTGCATTAAATTCATAGTTGGTAGCATCACGGGGGAAGATACCTACTGCCATGTCGTACTCCTTTAATAACTCTGGCAATGCCTTCTGCATTTTCCCTGTAAACAGACACATTCAATTGATGAGAGTTCAAGAATTATCTACTACCTTTGTAACACCTAAAAAAATTGTTTGGGGATATCTGCATTTTGTTAATGCAAGGTAAAACTTTCAGAAAAGGATAATGAACTAAACATGCTTTCAACTAAAAAATATCTGCATTTTGTTATTATTTTTATTTATTTCTTATCAAAAAAAATAAAAAATAAAAAAATAATTTATTTATTGTCCAATTAGAGGATTTAACTAGGAATCATACTCATGCTTCCATCAGCAGTCTGATAATAATTTTTCATATGGAATTTTTTTCTTTTTCTTTTTTTTTTTTTTTTCTTTTTGTGGTCATGTTTTATATCTCTTGAAAGTCATCAGTACAAGGCTAAGCGAACTCTTTAAACCCCAGACAGATTAAAAGTTTAGTTTGAGTTGAAGGGAGTCATAATGGTTACAATTTGAGGAAATAAATAGCTGCATTTACAAGCTTTGCTATAATATGCTGCCAATAAACATTGGTCAATTTCTAGCAAACTATAAGAGGACCAAAAAGCTTACGATCACCAATTACCAAGACAGTGAGTAACAAGTGATGATTTAAAAATAATAATACATACGAGCATATGATATATCAGTTTAACATCCAAAGTCAGAGAAAGGGAAGGGTGTGACAGATTATCCAAAAAAAAAACTAACCTTTGATTTTGTTAACCAACCACTTGCTTCCTCCTTCAATACTGTTTGACAAGGACTATTCATTGAAAGAAAAGGGTCAGTAGTAACATGTTGCATAACTCATGCAAAACAAAGCAGTGCAGGCATAGCAAAATATCAATGAGCTGCCACATGTTCACATGCATTGACACATTAAATATGAGAACTGAATAAATAAGGGGTTCATGAGAACTGCCGAAGACGTGAAATGATTCCATAGTTTTTTATTACACGTGATTTCAACTTCAATTAAATTGATACAATTTTCAAGAATGCTTCAAGTGATGCAATATCGTTGCATACTTTCTATGATTTTCTTGAAGTGACAATCTTTGACATTTTTTTATCATTTGACTAATGGCTTCATTTTCTGTAACAAATCCATTAAGAAAGGATTTTTCAAACAGTATATAGAACATGGGAACCCTACCAATGTAGGAATCCTGTTGTAGCATTTCCCCTCTCTATTTGCGCATGGATAGTAGCGCATTTTAAGTCATGTTACCAATCTATTTTCCTTTTTTTTTTTTTTTTTCTTCTAAACAAACAAATTCTCATTCTTCTTGTTACTTAACATCTTAAAAGCAAGAACAATCCCACGAAGGAGTCTGGTCCGTATTGGAAATGTGTTGGACACCAACACTTCATGTACAATCTTGGATTAGTATCTCACACTTCATGGACATGTCCGTAATTTAAAAGAAAAAAAAAAAAATTAATTAGTTTGAACACTTTTTTTTTTCTTTGTTTCTTTTTTTTTTGTTAAGTTAATTAGTTTGAACACTTAGCGGACACATTCCCGACACTTGACTAACACACCCCAGATATAACACATTCACATCTAAGATGAGTCACATATGATAATCTTGAAAATAAGATGAATACACCAAATGTCCAGGCATATTTTCTTTTTCTTTTTCATTTTTGGGTTATGAAAATTAACACTATACACATGGTCACCACAAGTTAAGGATGCAAATGACATTTTCAAATAGTAATATAAATAAATAAAAATTGTAATGACAAATTAGGAAAGTGTTAAGTTGTAATGAGTTGCGTATATAATATAATAATCTTTTATGATATTCACATGTCTTCATATTCTAAATTATGTAATTGTTAGTACAGAAATTAAAAATTAAATAAAGATTTATAATATTATTATTCAATATATGCATATAATTAAAATTTATATATGTGCGTTTGCGTATGTGTGTGTCTCCACGCTGTTTCTTTTTAGGTTTTGATTTGATGGCATTTCCGTGTTGCATTGTATTCGTGTATCGGTTACTTAGCATAGCAGCTCTCTTTGAATCTCATCCCACTATCCCATGATTCTGTCCCTCTCAAGTAACAGACCAGACCACAGAGAACCTCTTGGTAACTGAATCTCCATGACTGCTTATCTTAAAAAGAAATGGGATGCTTCTCATCCTATTCAGGAGTCCAATACGATTTTTGAAGAGAAAATATTAAAAGAACTGCTTCAAATAGAAGACAGAAAAAGAAAGGCTATATTTTTTTTTCAAAGAAGAAGTGGGACAAAGTTATATAAAAGTAGCAGGGAGATTGTCACATGATATATAGAAAGCAGGACTTGTTTCATTGGAAATCCAAGTCTTAAAAATTGATGGTTGTCCCTCTCAATAAAAATATTTTCCCCCCAAGTTTTTGCCACTCCTCAACATAATCAAATAAATGTATCAAGATGTATTAAAATTCTACTCAATATATTATTCAATATGATTCCCATAAAGAGAACAAAGTGGTCGTCTTTTCCAAGCTAAGCTTCATTCAAGTTAATCAACGCATCAAACCATGGAGCTTCTTCTTTTTTCTCTAGCTTGATAAAAGCAACCTATACATATACACAATTATCTGATTTCTAGCAGTATTCAACATCATGTGTTGGTTAATGTCTTAATGATGAGCATTATATCTATACTTTTTGGAAAAATGTTAACCTTGTATCCTGATTTCACATCCATAAACCATCTTGAAAAGAATAATGGCAATTTCATCTGACATTGCTTACGCAGGTTTTTTGGTTTTTTTATTAAAAGATTAATGGATATTAAATTATATATAATAATATAACTCAACCCAATTTAGAAGGCTAAGGGGTTAGAATTATCACATATGAAAATCACCCTTATAAGGTAAATGCAATATATTAATTGAATCTTCTTCTGCATAAACTAAGATAGAAAGGTATTGAAAGAAGACTTATTAGGATGGGATAAGAACGACTAATCCTTAATTCACTTTAAGTAATCATTCTAAATAAATTACATAAAATCCATTACCAAAGGTAATTTCAAATACCATAACTAATTTTATTCCTCAAATTAGGTCTTCAAAAATTCCCAAATTCAATAAACCCTAATTTGGCTCTGGGTCTCAAAATAAAAGGAAAAAGAAATACGCTTTATGATCAGATTGTCATATTCAAAAAAAAAAAAAAAAAAAAGAACAATATGAATTGTGAGATGAAGAAGAGAGATATAGACGTACATTGAAATCATCGCCGACGGAATTGAGTTCCTTGTTGGCTTTATTACTGAACCAGTACGATCCGACCTTGTTCATAATCTGATCCATTTCTGTCTCTCTGTGTATTTCTGCCTGTGAAACAAACAGAGAAATGTTCTAATCTTCTCTCTCTAAAGAGATTGAAGACTTGCTTCTCTCTCTATTTTCACACAAAGAGAGAGGAAGAGAAGTTGTTCCCCGCTGCGACTTTTCAGCGATTCCTATCCTCTCTCTACTATATGTATGTATTCTTATGTACCTATACAATTTATATACGTAATTATATTTTTTATTGATTGACAATAAGTATAAACGGAACATTTTTCTAAAGTTCAAAAGAAATTAAGCCGATTTTTTTTAATTTAAATTTAAATTATATATTATTGAAAGAGTAGTAATTTAAGATAACCAAATTTTGCGGGAAGGGTGGGTTCCATCACTACTGAATTTGGTAATTAATGTTTTATTTTGATAGAAAGGAAGGAAAATGGGCGAAAAGAAAATTAAAAAAAAAAAAAAAACAAACAAACAAACTTTTTATATTTAGTCTCATATTTATATAATTTAAGATTATTTTTTATTCTCTTATAGTAAAATATACAAGTTTTTTTTAATTTACCATTACAAGGACTTAAATCTTCACCGATTAACATCTACTTTAAAATTACAAAATTTTTATTGTACAATAAAATATGCATATTAGTACATTTTTAGTAAAAACTGTATATGTCTGGTGACCAGCATTTGTACTCTTTTTTTTCTCCCTAATTACATCTATTTTTTTAACAATATGTCGTTTTCTTACTTGGTAAATGGTTTACGGTACTATAAAAATATTTGAATAACGTATATTTTATAAGAATAATTTTCTTATCAAAAGTAAGCTGATGAAGATTGTGTTTAATTAATTAGTAATGTGAATTGAAGTATGAACAAGGGTTATTAAGGTGTAAAATGGAAGTTTCTAGGGTCAACACGGTCCCAATAATATAACAGCTAAGCTAAGAAGACAAAGTAGCGAAGCCCAGCCCAATAATTAACTGGATTCCAACTGAACCAATGACTCTAAAAACATTTCGGCCTTGTTTGGCTGAGTCTTCTATAACCTCAAAATGATATAATTAAACATGTTTTCAAATACACTTTATAATTATGGAAATAATTTTTTGTTTTTGAAAAACTAAAAACAAAAAACAGTACAAAAAATCCTGATTGGTTCAGCTTTTTAAAAACCGTTTTTTGAAAATTCAGTTATAAAAAACATGTTTGTAGAGAACAGTCTTTTATAATTATCTGGAAACTGTTCTTTGTTTTCTGAAAATTATTTTTAGAGTTACAAACCAAGCACACACCCGTATTTTTCTTTCAAATAAAAATAAAAACTTAAAACGAAAACGAATGCTAAGAAGGCCCTAGTGTATATATATATCTATATCTATACTATTATTAAATGTGCGAAGTGTTTCAGTATTTCAGTATTTCAGTATTTATTTATTAATTGATATAAATTCTATAAAACTCAAAATTACCTAATAAAATTAAAATTCATTCAAATTCACAAAATATAAAAAGAGTTTAATTCAAATTACAAAGTCCCACATTGAGTTAAAGTAAAAAAGATTACATGAAGACCTCTTATAAGACTATAGAGCTAAAGAAATAATATTTACACCTTATCGGCCTTTTGGCTAAGATCAAGTGTAATACTAAATTTTTTTGGGTCGGCCTTTTAGCTAATCTTTCTTGGTCTTTTGGCTAAGATCAAGTTCAGTATTTCAGTATTTATTTATTAATTGATATAAATTCTATAAAACTCAAAATTACCAAATAAAATTAAAGTTAACTCAAATTAACAAAATATAAAAATAGTTTAATTCAAATTACAAAGTCCCACATTGGTTTTAAGTAAAAATGATTACATGAAAGCCTCTTCTAAAACTATTGAGCTAAAGAAATAATTAAAAAATATTTATTAATTAATACAAAAAGAGAACTCTATCACATATAAGTATATAACCCTTGTATTTTTAATAAAAGAAAATATAATTTTACAAAGATATATCTAAATAAAATAAAATAATTTCTATAAAATTCTACCACAAATTACATATTTAAAGAAAATAAAATATAACCTAGGATCTCTTAAAAAATATTTATTAATTAATACAAAAAGAGAACTCTATCACATATAAGTATATAACCCTTGTATTTATCTATTTTTTATGAGTTTTTTAATAAAAGAAAATCTAATTTTACAAAGATATATCTAAATAAAATAAAATAATTTCTATAAAATTCTACCACAAATTACATATTTAAAGAAAATAAAATATAACCTAGGGTCTTCTAAAAACCACAAACTCCATATAATAAATTTTTATATTAATTTCAATCTAATGTATAATTGAATTTCTATTTTAAAATTTAATTAAAAATTAATATAATTGAATTTCTATTGTAAATTAAAAATTATACTAAATTTCAAATTATCTAATAAAATTCAAATTACAAATTATCTAATAAAATTCAAATTACCTAAAAAAATTTGTTACTTTGCAAAACTCAAATATTTCACTATTAAAATAAAAAATTATTATTTAATAAAAAATAAAATATACATATTTCAGTATTAATATAAAAATATAAAAGAATTTATTAATTTACGAAACTTAAACTCTATCACCAATTTCAAAATATTTTAGTATTTATTTATTAATATAAAATAAATACTAAAATATGAAGACAAAAATTTCAAATATGAAGACAAAAATTTTATAAGTTACAAAAATTTTATAATGTATAATTAGTATAATTGAATTTCTATTTTATAAATTTTGGCTAAAATCAAGTATAATACTAAATTTTTTTGGGTCAGCCTTTTGGCTAACCTTTTTTGGTCTTTTGGCTAAGATCAAGTGTAGTACTACTTTCTTGGCTTTTGTGCAAAGAGTTTCAGTATTTATTTATTAATTGATATAAATTATATAAAACTCAAAATTACCTAATAAAATTCAAATTAATAAAATATAAAAAGAGTTTAATTCACAATAAAGAGTTCTCATTAATTATTATATCCCACGATATATATAATAGTATTTCAGTATTTAAATTATCTAATAAAATTAAAATTAATTCAAATTAACAAATATAAAAAAAGTTTAATTCAAATTACAAAGTCCCACATTGGTTTAAAGTAAAAAAGATTACATGAAAGCCTCTTATAAAATTATAGAGTTAAATAAATAATATTCACACATTCTCAACCTTTTGGCTAAGATCAAGTGTACCCTGTTAAAAGATGCTCATTAGTGAAGAAGAGACAACTAAAAGATTGTATTTTTTTCAAATATCTCAATAAAAACTAGACTCCAATAATTCAAGCAAACAAAAACTAGACTCCAATAATTCAAGCCTACAATTTTATCAGAATCGTTGGAATAAAATCTGAAAAATTAGATATTTTGTTTAAAAAATTGTTCTGTTATATATGGCGCAGTCTCGTACCTAACGCAGTTAACTAACTAAGATCTTTAGGAAAAATCTGTGGACAAAAAGTTCACCATATTTTATATATACATACAAGAAAACAATTTACTTCAAACATGTTTACAATCCATTTGCCGCACAACTAGAATCCTGTAGTTATTATTATTTAAATAGAACTTCTCTTTGATGAAAATTATTGGGTCGGCCTTTTGGCTAACCTTTCTTGGTCTTTTGGCTAAGATCAAGTTCAGTATTTCAGTATTTATTTATTAATTGATATAAATTCTATAAATTTCAAAATTACCTAATTAAATTAAAATTAACTCAAATTAACAAAATATAAAAATAGTTTAATTCAAATTACAAATTCCCACATTGGTTTTAAGTAAAAATGATGACATGAAAGCTTCTTATAAAATTATAGAGCTAAAGAAATAATAATCACACCTTCTCGGCCTTTTGGCTAAAATCAAGTGTAGTACTAAATTTTTTTGGGTCGGCCTTTTGGCTAACCTTTCTTGGTCTTTTGGCTAAGATCAAGTGTAATACTACTTTCTTGACCTTTGTGCAAAGAGTTTCAGTATTTATTTATTAATTGATATAAATTCTATAAAACTCAAAATTACCTAATAAAATTCAAATTAACAAAATATAAAAAAGAGTTTAATTCACAATAAAGAGCTCTCATTAATTATTATATCGTATAGAATAGTATTTCAGTATTTAAATTACCTAATAAAATTAAAATTAATTAAAATTAACAAAATATAAAAAGAGTTTAATTCAAATTACAAAATCCCACATTGGTTTTAAGTAAAAAAGATTACATAAAAACTTCTAATAAAACTATAGAGCTAAAGAAATAATAATCACACCTTCTCGGACTTTTGGTTAAGATCAAGTGTAGCTAACTTTTCTTGGTCTTTTGGCTAAGATCAAGTGTAGTACTACTTTCTCGGCCTTTGTGCAAAGAGTTTCAGTATTTATTTATTAATTGATATAAAATCTACATAATAAAATTTAAATTAACCAATTTATCTATTTATTATTGTGAATTTTTTAATAAAAGAAAATCTAATTAGACAAAATTATTAATATAAAAAATATTTATTAATTGATATATAAAATAAAATAATTTTTATAAAACTCTACCACAAATTAGCTTTTATTATGAGTTTCTTAATAAAATTAAATCTAATTAGACAAGGATATATTTAAAGAAAATAAAATAATTTTTATAAAACTCTATTACAAATTACTTATTTTATTTTCAATAAAACTCTATCAACAAAGATATATTTAAAGAGATTCTATAAAACTCTAACACAAATTACCTATTTATCTATTTATTATGAGTTTTTTAATAAATGAAAACCTAATTAGACAAGAATTATTTAAATAAAAAATATTTATTAATTGATAGAAAAAGAGTTTTTAAAAGAATTTATATTAAATTCTAACACAAATTACCTATTTATTTATTTATTTATTTATTATAAGTTTTTAATAAAATAAAATCTAACAAGACAAGAATTATTATTATAAAAATATTTTTTAATTGATATAAAAAATAAAATAATTTTTCTAAAACTCTACAATAAATTATCTTTTATTATGAGTTTTTTTTTAATAAAAGCTAATCTAATTAGACAGGAATTATTAAAATATAAAAATATTTATTAATTCATATAAAAAGAGTTTTAAAAATATTTTCTATAACACTCTAATACGTATTACGTATTACAATTTTTTAATAAAA